GAATGATTCGGACACTCAACCGAAAAACATAAAATCCGAGTGCGACTCTATTTGGAATTACTTTTGGCTACTTCCCCAATCTACCTTGCGTTCAAAATCGTTTTTTTTTTGCAGTTGAGATTTACGAATGAATTTTCGCATGCCCTTGATTTATATTCTTTGACCTTCCTCGTTGTTAAAGCTCAGGAGCTTTGTCCATTTTTGTCCCTATTTTGCCGACAGAAGTTCTATTGTCGTACGCCCCCTACTTTTATTTTCTGGTTGGTCAACCCTCGTTGACTTGAGAAAGCTTTGGCATTGAAAGGAGCTGTCAACAATCATAGCATGTGTTTTGCAACGACACACGGTATTTAAGCTGTAGTCACGAGCCGCTGGCTTCAGGTCCGGAATAATACGCAACTATTTCTTAAGAATGACCACAGAATGAGATTCAGGGCACAACGAGACGAGAAAGCTCAATAACTCGATCGGGTTCGGCACTAAAAACGTCTCTTTTGTTTTACTTCCCTTCCGGTTATGTAGGTTTAATTCCGCAACCTTTTAGAGTGGCCAAGGTCGAATTCGGTGTCAGCAGTCCTTGTTTAATTTCACTTCATATTAACCGAGATCCTGGCCGATTGATGATGTCTAATAAAACATAATTACATTTTTAATTAGAAGGGGCGTTCACCGATCGGCTTCCGTTGTGCCTTGAAACTCAATGTAGGGCCTTCACCGGCAGTCTTCTAGCAACCAGGAGTTTATGCTTAACGATTGTTTTACTCTTTATTTTTCCTAATTGATGCTATTTTACACTTTTTAACATAATTTTAGTTCTAAGCTGAAAACTCCTCCGTCAAAGACACTGGATGCCTTCATGAGCATCTCGCCGAAGGTCGGTGCCGTGGTGGTCAAGAAAGGGGAACGGGAATCTTTCAAACAGTCGCCGCCACAGTCATTTGGCGAATTATTTCATGCGCGTAAACGATCCTTCTCGGAGAATGACTCGAATACTCCACCGAAGCACATAAAATCCGAGTACGACTCGATTTGGAATTACCTTTGACTACATCCGCATCTGCTTTGCGTTCAAAATCGCATTTGAAGTTGACTAATGCATTTTCGCATGCCATTCATTCAGCTTCCTTGACTTTACTCGTTGTTAACGCTCAGAAATTTTGTCTATTTTTGTCCGTATTTTGCCCATAGAAGTTTTATTGACGTACGCTTCCTCATATGATCTTCTGGTTGGTCAACCCTTCTTGACGTACGAAATGTTTGGCGTTAGAATTAACCGTCAGCAATCACGGGCTGTGGATGTCTTATTTGAATTCAAAAAGCAAACAGGCTTTTGTCGTGGGGAGTGAAGTTTGCAACGTCACTGTTCGTATTGAAAGTGTTGAAGTAGAACTAACAAAGACAGAGGAGACTGAAGTGATCATTTCCAGCTTATAAGCTGTCATCAGACAGTCATACCCCACCCCAGGGATGGCGAACTACGAGAT